CAAGTCTAAATACCAATGACAGATAGTCCAGTCAAACTCCCAAACCTGAACAGAACACTCAAAAAATACCCAGAATGGGGAAAATACCACAGACAGAGTGTCGGTCGACCGACTCGATCGACCGATCTCTATTACGAGTCTGGCGGTCGACCGAAATAATGTCGCGGTCGACCGAAATAATCGGCGGTCGACCGAAACGACGAAGCGGTCGACCGAAAACTCAAAACGAGCCCAGCGGTCGACTGCGTCGGTTGACCGCCGAGCGGACAGAAACCCAAATCTGGGTTTCCGTCAGCTCGAAACCTGAAACGAAATTTTGCAAATCTCTACGATAACAAGAGTTCTAAGGTTTTAAAATCATACTGAACATAAACAACAAATCTCAGGCTTGAAATCTATACTTCCAATATTATAAAAAGAAACATGAGAAAAAATTTCCAAATCGTTTCAATGACAGTAAAAAAATGATTTTGTTCTTAGATCTAGATCGTCATCAAACAGGTATTGGGTGAGTTTTTTATAAACTAAAACCTCTGATTCATATTATTATACCATAGAGAAATCGTTTCTTAACAAAAATACTATTTTGGCTCATCCAAAACTCATAAAATCCAAAATAAAGATCATGGAAAACAGGGGTGAGGGATTGGACGAGATGATACTCGCCTTGGGTGTTGACGAACGTTCTGGAGATGATTCTCCTGAGATCCAATCTGCTGAAATCCCCTGGAACTCCTCCAAACTCCTCAAAGATCACCAGGTCCAGTTAGGGTTCTGAGAGGGGAGAGACAAAGAGGCTAGGGTTTTACGTTGAGATGAAGGGGGAGGCTCTCCTGGGTAGGTTTAGAATGTATACCAAAGCCCTAACCCGACACCAATTCCCCAACCCGACCCGAAACCCAATAGCCCAAAACTAAAACCCGAACCTGAAAAACAAACTGCCTTCTGTAGGCATTTCACCTGCTGGACACATCTCACTCGATGTCTCTCATATATAAACACCTGTTGGGTTCCCAAACACTGATAAATATATATTCATCTGATATATTTACATGATTATTCATCATAAGAGAATTATTCACTATTAATAATTCACATATACTTATTATAGAATTTTCGGGGTTTTACACATTAGACCTGAGATCAATGGGGTATTTATAGCCTCCCAAAACCTCAGCCAAAAGACCAACAGAAATGACCAAAAAACCAACAGAATCGGAAATCATACTCTATACAAAATGACCGTTGGAGTGAACGGCGGTCGACCGTAAATTCTCGCGGTCGACCGCGAACTAGTACATCGGGTGAAAAATCCAGACAAGGAACCCCCCATACATATACCAT